TATTATTGAATTTATTTTCTGAGTACTGTAAACAAAAACAGGGATTATGACTTGCTCAGGTTACTGGGGCTGTGTCTGTTTTGCACCCAGATGTGGTCACAAACACAAACAGCTTCAGCCTGCTGGCTTGGCTGGATGGAACACATTCTCACTGTAGGATGAGTGGCACCGTGTGCTTTGTGATCCCCTTGAGCGCTGAGCGCAGAGCCAGCACTGATAGCAGAGATCAAACAGAGCACCAAGAAGAAGGGATTTCAGATGATCTCTTACCTGTAGCACTCCCCTTCTGAAAGCAGGATGTCTGTCAAAGTCCATCTCTTTTCCTGCCACAAAGAACGGAGTCTCTTGAGTGTAAAACCACACACCTATTTTTTCATTAAAAAAAATGACTGCTTCCACTCTCCCTTCCCTGAAGTTTAGTGCACGTGCTGTGTATCGCTCTCAGCTCAGTTGCACTTCCTTCCTGAACAATGATACCTCTGAATAAACCATCCTTAACCTTCAGGGTGCTGGGATACCAGGCTGCAGGGGCAGGAAAAAGACAAGAGGATTAGAGAGCTTTACCTGCTCTTTTCTTCCCGATGCAGCTGGTGATGAGTGTAACAGTAGCGATCAGGGCAGCTGTAGCCAGCAAGGAAATCAGCACCATGACAGCATAGGGAGTCCTGTAAAGGAAAACATGGTGTCTCCATCACTATTTACAGCACTGCAGTGACTAGGCTAGTTTGGGAGGGGGTTTTGTGTGTCTGAAATTAAATTCAGCGTACAACTATTAACCCCGTTGTCTCTCAACAAGTGTGATTCTGTGAGGTCAGTACTTATGTGCAGTCACAGAGGATCCATCCCAACTGTATTTTCTCTGGTTCTTTACAAGCCTGGGGCACATTCAGGAGCTTGAAATCTCTTCCTGCGCTCAATTCAGTGCTGCTTAGAGTTCAAAGGCATCCCTTATCGGGATGCAGGAGCCCTTCTCATGGTCTGTCTTTGATCAGGATCATTATGGGTTGCTCTTAGGCTGTTGTGCTTGTACAAGAGCAGAATCATTGTAACATAACATTGCATGGGTTGTATAGTTGTCCCTTTTTAAGCAGGTAGAAAGGAATAACACTGAAACTGAGCATCTTCAGTGGAGTCCCCACCTAGAGCTCCTGAAACCAGCAGGAGACTTGTATGGCTTTCATAGGGCCTGAGCAGGTTGACCCAAACTCCGCAGGGAGAAGCCTGTGTGTGTGTGCACGTTTATCACAGCACTGCTCAAATCCTGCAGTGCAGCCAGAATGCCATAATTAGAGTCTGGGTGTCTTTGTTTATTTTTACCTCTGGTCCTTTCTGCTGTTGTCTGTGGGGCTGCCATCCATATTCCACTTTTCCCCTTGGAAAAAAAAGCAGAAGTGAATGATTTTCCCACACTGATCCATCCCTGATGACTCTCTGTCATGCCAGCATGCTCCAGAGATACTGCTTGTTTGTTAACCATGACATTGTGGAATGCAGAAGGATATCCATCCTGTGCTATTCATCAGCAAAAGAAAGTTTATCAGTGCTGCTGAGTCATGGGAATCATCCAGTTATAGGATCATCCATTTTCTCAGGAAAGAGCTGGGATTTTGTGTATGCTGTTGGCTGGTGTACTGTCAGCAGTGCATGTGCATGAAAGCACCAGTGTAGGCTCAGCCAGAGAGCCAGCAGCAAATAGCTATGGGGACAGGAACAGACATCTTGTGATTCCAGGTTTCTTTCCTTCAGGTTATGGGCCTCTGGTGCTTTTTCACTGCTGCCAAATAGGTAAGCCACGAAAATTCATGTCAGTTTAGAGAGCAGCCTGAAAGCTGAGTTGCATTTAAATGCTGCTGGAAAGAAAGTTTCTTAGAAGACAAATCTTGACATCTTTGTCTTAAAGAAGGGATCTCGTTATTTACCTCCCCTCCTGCGTTTTTCAGTCCGGTCAGAAAGATCAGATTGTTTCCACTCAGTGCTTTCTGCTTTGCTGCTTTCTGCACTGGCTGAAAGCAGAAGGGAAGTATTAAATTCAAAAGTTCATTAACAGACAGTGACAAAGAGGTGAACTCAGGTAGAAATTCATGGAAACATTCAGATCTCTTGGAGTCTGTTCCATCTGCTGATGCAAATGTGAAATGTCATCAGTCTAGGAAGCCAAGTCAGACTGCCCCCCTCCCAAGAACTGGCAGCAATTTATACCATTAGTGTGTGTCAGAAAATCTGTTTTAAAAAGGAAATTCAGGAGTTATCTGTGTCTCAGGAAATTTCAAGGCTCAGAAGAGAGCTCTTTAGCACTGACCTGTAATCTTTCTTGTCAAGTATTAAGAAATTGCTGACTTTTAGAAGATCATCATTAATTCTTTGATTAACTCACCCAAAACTTTCAGCACGATCCTCCTCAGTAGTTTGTTTCTCCCCTGGAGATGGCTCTCAAGACGATACTCTCCTGAGTCATTAAGTTGGAGCTTTTTCAGCCACATTCTAATCATTTTCCATGAGAAGTCATTCATCATTTCAGTCCTCTCTGCTTTAACAATACTTTGATCAGCATTACCTCTGATAATAGGGTGACAAGTAATTTGGGACACCATTTTGCACCAAATAAAATGTTGAAGTTCTCCAGTGTTGATTGGTGCAGAATAGGAGCAGTGGAGGAACAGAGATTTCCCTTTTTTGGCAAACACTGTTACAGGTTCTAAAGAAAATAAAGTGGTGATTCATTAGAAGGATCAAAGAGAAGAAAGAACAGTCCCTGTGGTAGTGTGCATCACCCAGCAAAGGAGAGAGGCCAACAGCAGAACAAAGAGAGCTTGCAGAAGAGGTGGAAGCCTGTATCAGGTACTGTCACATTGCCCAGGTGCTGTGACAAGGAGCCACCTCAGCACATTTCTAATGCCTAATATCTATCTTCAAGTTTAAGAGGGTGTTGCTCCCTCTCATGAGTCTTCTTGAGTTATCAGAGCCTTTCTGCGTGAAAGGCTTCTGTGACTGGAAAACACTTGGAACAAAATGGAAAATTTTCTGCAAAAGAAAGTTGTATTCCTTTAGTTTTCATCAGCTTGTCTGAAATATTCTATCCCAAACCCATTTGGTTTTGATTAGTACAATCCCACAAAATTGTATTCATGGTTTTTCGTGGTGATTTTTAAAATAACGCTTTCTTTTGCTTTGGAACTTCTTCATTTTGTATGGAAAAAAAAAAATTATTGGCCATTTCTGCCTCTAGATACATACAGATACGTATTGTGATTTTATATGGAGCTATAGAACGTAGTTTTATCCTGTCCTCAATAACCTCTCGGGGAATTACGATGTCTAGATGTACCATGTTTAGCTATGAAACAAAAAAATGGAATTGACACATCATTCTTGATTTATTTTGGTAGTCTCCCACCCGGCGTGCTGTTGACCACATAGCTCACCCTTAGGTGAAACCACCATCTGTATTCTTTGTAGCAAAACTTGCTTCATTTCAACCCAAACTCCACACTGGTATGTGCCAGAATCCTCTTTGCGAAGTGCTGTCATGATTACAGAAAACCAACCGCCTCCAGAGTCTCTCAGCTCAGCTGGAGGATGCAGTGCAGGGCTAGGAGCAATCCTTTCTTCTGAAGGGAAGCTCAAGGGTAAGACTGGACAATATTTTTCTGATTGTTCCTTGCACCAGAATTTCTTCTCACGAGAGTGCTTGTGCACGTCGTATGAGCAGTTAGCTCTGAAGGACTCTCCTGGTACTTGCAGAAAGACTTGTGTGTCCTCTGCTGCCACGTGTGATCCTTTGAAAGGAAGAAGAAAATTGATGCCAGAAGTCACCACGTCCTGTGCCACCTTTTCTTGCGTCACACTGCTGATACCTCTGGGACTGTGAGAAGAGTTACCTGTCTCTGCAGGTTTGCATAAAGAAACATCCATACCCAGCCTTGGTGCCACTACCCTTTTTCCATTGTTATTCACATTGTTCCTCTCTGTGGACTCAGTATTCACAGGCTGTAAGAGAGCAAACAGCAGCTAGCCTGTCTCACACTGCTCACAATGCCTCATCCATCATGTTTCAAGAGAAAATAACAAACACAGATTTCACTCCCCATATGCTAGGTGATTTCAGACTGAGAAAACCTAAGCTTGTGTAAATAAAATAAACACATTTCAGGCTGAACATCTCCTCTTGTTGACATCTGGCAATCCTATTCCTTGCCTGGCCGTGGATGGCCTGAATAAAAATTGTTCAAGCAAATAACAGCTGCAATGTGTACAGCAGCACTGAGAGCACCCTGCTCCTCAGGGTGATTCAAAGCCTTACCTGGTAGCACCAGCAGGAGCAGCAGGGCTGGAAAACTTCCCATCCTGCAGTAGAAAGTGGTATATGGCACGGGGAGAAGAATGTATCCTAGAGCTTCGTTACCCCTGAGGAATTCTCTGATACAGAGGAAGCTAAACTTGCTTTGTCATTTACAGTTTCTGCTGCTTGGAGTGATGATAGCAGTTTGGAGTTGCTGAGAACATCTATTAACCACAAACTGTCTTGGGTGGGAAGACTGCTTCATGTTTACTAGCTGCTTTTTTGCTTTAAGTATTTAGTTGTGTAGATAGCTCTATTTAGCAATCAGACTGTGGGGCTGGAAAAGAAATAGGCATTTTCAGGCTCTGGTGCCACCTTGGCAGTGCAGCTTTCAGTAGGATAAGTTAATTCTTCCTGCAGTTTTGTGCTTATGTGCAACTTCCATGTTCTTGTTCAGAAGTGCCCAGCATCAACATGAGGTGATGTGAGTGGCCCTGCATGAGGTGTCAGGGTTGCCTCCTGGTTAGTGCTGCAGTTCCCTTGCTTTACAGCCCATGCCTATGCTAGGCACTTCAGAGTTGAGAGGGAATGCCAAAATGAAATGAAATTAGTTTATAGCCTTGTCTGGATTTGGGATCTCAGCTACTGTTACCACCAAGTGCTAAATGGGGCTGGCTGGATCCACCCACCTGCCAGTTTGGAGTACTGCAAAACACAGCAGTTTGTTCTGAGTGGTTTATTGTGAATTGCTGTGCTCCAGCCCTTTGACATGAATCCACACTATGTAAGATAACAGTTTGTTTTTATTTAGCTTTGTAGGCAATGCGGGAAGCAGTGTGAATGGCATTGGGTTTGGGTTCTTCTTTGGACAGGTAATTGCAGCTTCCTTCTGGGGTATGATGAACAATGAACCCCTTGAGAAAAAGTGCAGGTAAAGTACAGAGAGACAGATCATCTTTGTGTTCATGGAATGATTTGAGAAATGAGGAAACAAGCTCAGAGCTGTGTGCAGATTTCACATGCCTTTGTTATGTTCTGCAGTTCTTTGTTCCTTTCCACACTGACTGCTTGCTAAGGATCCACTCTGTGCAAGGAGATCCTTGGGGTCTTGTGTCACCTAGCAGTACTGTGAGATGGCACAACACTGACAGATCTCACCTGCACAGGGGATGAGCACTAGGAATAACTGCCTGATCGTGTGGTGCAGTTACTGGCAGTGACTGGAGGTGACAGCAGAGCACTGCATTGCCATAAGCATGGCAAAAATCAGTCTTTATGGACAGGAGTCTTACAAACAAGTCTTAACAAAGCTGATTTCTAGACAGCAATACTAGCTTTCAGTAGAACCACATACGTCCATTTGTACTGCGTGCTTTTGGGAGAAGCATTCATGGCTTCTGTAGAGGTGTGTAGGACATTCTGAATAAAAGCCATGAGCTCTTCAGCACTGTTCTTCAACGAATCAAAACTTCCTTGGAGGTTTGAGATGAAACTGTCATATTATTTTTGCTGTGTGTGAGAGCACAAAAGCACCAGGTGGTTGAGATGTGTTAACCTGGACTCTTGTTTATGTTCAGTGGTTTTCCTTACAGCAATGCATTATCTGTGCATTACTGTGTCTGGGGAAGCATCTCTGCCACATGAGTAGGGTTTTGTTGGATCTCTTGATGAAACGATTTCTTCTTCCTCCCTCCTTCCAGCCCTCAGTCCCACCCGCTTCCAACAGTTTCAGGTGTTACTGGCAGCATCATTTCAATTGGGTTGTGTTGGAGAAAGCAATGAGAGAAGGTGGTAGATGGTGACATTCCCTCTCCAGAGTGATAGGTTTGTCAATACCTATATTTAGTAGGCAGTGCTTTTCTTTCTTACAGCAGGTGGCAAAGCTTTGCTCAAAAAAGCTTGATGTTCATTTCCCTGTCGATTCCCTTTGGTTCGGCTCTAAGCAGTGCTCTCCCAGGAGGGGCTGATTCCACCATGTGCAGGCTCTACGAGGTCACCAGGGAAACGGAGGACCTGCTGTTCATTCAAGCTTGGTTTGTTCTGCTCTGCCTCTCTGTTTTTCATGCTGTTGCTAATGATAAAGATCAGCACAGCCACCACAAACTTAGTAGCCAGTAATCCAGCAATGATGTAGAGGACCGTGAAATCAGCTTCAGGAGGGATGCTATGGGGAAACATAAACACAACAAAATGAGGCTTAGCAAGGAAGAGGATGATTCAACCTTAAATAAATTCTTGTATTTGGATAGGATAGAAGTGCAAAGGTGGTAACAACTCCTGTGAGTGCTACCCCCTGCTTGGGCACAACAGAGCCTGCGAGGTTAGAGCAACTGTAATAGGTTTTAACTGGAAGATCTCACATATGGATAAATTGCAATCTGCAGGATTTGGCTTGCCTGGCCCTGGAGCACTGCTTTGTGTTCAGAAACCATGCAGCAGCTACAAGGGTTGTCATGCATTAGGAAGGGGCGGAGAATGTGCCTGTGGTGATGTTCTTCTCAGCTTCAAATGGGATTACAGGTGCTAATGTAGTTTAGTCTTAGAAGAAGGAATATTATGGTTTACCTGGAGATGCTCTGCACAGCACTGGGCTCCTCTGGAATTTGGGTCTCCAGGACAGCTGGTGACAGAAACAGAACAGTTCAGTCTGCAAATGTTCCATGTGATATTCAGTGGTGTCACAAAACCAGTGCCCCAGATAGGCACAGGTGACCAAAGTGAGGCTGGGCACTGGTTAGTCTGGGTGATGACTGATGGCATGTATTAGATGTCCTGTAGCAGTGAGTTTGTGTTGCTATAAATTGGGAAATAAAAACAGGCTGGGGACTTCCTTAGAGACAGACAAAAGTAAATGTTTACTGAAGTACAGTCCTGGCATCTGCAGGGGTGTGAAATTTAAGTAGGAACTGGTGAAACTCAGAGCCCTGGGACCTACCTGTCAGCACATCCACTTGCACCCTCCGTAAGGTGTTGGTTTCCCCCAGGTACTCCGTTCTGCACTGGTACAGCCCGGCGTCCTGCTTCCTGAGTCGCCTCATGGTCACGGTCAGGACCCCATCCTGGATGTTGTCGCTGATGGAGGTGGTGCCGTTCCTGTTCTTCAGGAATGGCAGCCAGAAGCGGCGGGCGCTCACCACGTGTTGGCACTTACTCCCATCGATCTGCTTGCACCAGCTCTTCTCTCTCCACCGCTGCTGCCGGGGGTTATAGGTGCAGTTCACAGATATGGTCCCCCCCTCCATTCCGTACACCGTAGTGATGTTCTGTGCAGTACAGGATGCTAGGAGAGGAGGAGAAAGTGGTGAGCCACAACTTTCATATCTATCCCTTACTGCTTGTGCCAAACAGATGTCATTTTCCTCTTTTACAGCTCTGATGATGGCTACTGCCAACTGCAGGGCTGGCTCACCTGCCTGCCGTGTCGAGAAAAATGCAGTGTGCTCAGGTTCAGTCTTGGCTCAGACTTCCTTGAAATAAGCCTGCAGTGATCCCATTGACTGGTGTGTCATGTGGCTCTTGCTGAGCAGCTTTTCCTGTGGGAGTTTGCAGATCTTCTGAAGCTCAGCAAATTTCGGTCCTCATCTTCCCCCTCTGGCCCTGTGGTGACTGCTCTGGATTGCAGTCTGGAGCTCAGTGTTGTCATGCTTGTTGTGGTCACTGTGCTCCAGCCCAGCAAGGGGAGACTGTTTGTCAGCATGACTAGGACACTTAAATAGGAGCTTGTGTTTTCCTCTGATCTGGGGGGGCACAAAGCTGGAAGTTGACTTGACACTAGGTAAACTGGCTTGGTTTTTACGAGGTGTTTTTATGAGGCAGATCATCACAGAATCACAGAATTGTAGGGGTTGGAAGGGACCTCTAGAGATCATTGAGTCCAACGCTCCTGCAAAGCAGCTCCTACAGCAGGCTGCACAGGAAGGCGTCCAGGCAGGTCATCCTGACCCAGTAATGACTCGTCCTTTCTCAGCAGCCATTAGTTAGTTTCTCCTTGCTGTAACACCCCTTCTTTGAAGCATGCAGCCTGCCTACTTGCAAACAGCTGCAGCAAGGCAGCTTGCTTCAGGCTTTAGCCTTGAGCTCAACCCTTCCACATATGTTCAGAGGTGCAGATTTGGCTCTGATGCAAAAATGGTGCTGTGCAGTAAACGCCTGTAAAGTTTGTCACAATTTTAGGGCCCTTTACAGAGCCAAAGGAAAGCAGAACAGCCTTGGCAGGTGCTGCAATCAAAGTGAGAGATAGAAACAAGTGAGCAGCTCACTGTTAGCAGGTTGCTTGTTATTCGCATTCCTGACTTCTGATTCCAGAGTCTTTGCAGATTGTTTCATCCTGTCTTTTTAATAACCTATTCATTTTAATCCTGTTGATAACTGGTCTGCAGCTGCTTGGCTTTTTTTGTTCTAGTTCCTTATTTCTAATTTCCATTTCCTCCTTATAGTGGGCAAAGGCAGAAGGGAAAGTCTATTAATATTTAGAGAGAGAAGTACAGAGTGTTATTTCTGGAAATCTATGTAGATTTTGTGGCAAGATAAATAATGCTAAAACAGGAGTAAATTAAAAAATGGGTTGTTGTGAGGCCTTTGTGTTGGCAGAGCCTTATCATAAAGCATCTTAAAATAATTTTAAACATTCTAAGTGCTTTGTAAGCTGAAAGAAAAAAGAAGCTGAAGGTCTTTCAGGCTTTCCTAGAGGATGGCATAAAAATGGATCTATGCTCTTCAGTCATCCATCACCTACAAACTTTCATCCTGCTGTTTTGTTCCACTCAGTGGTTCCAGGGAAGGCTTTACCTCTCTACACATCCCATCCCAGGAGAGCCAACTAAACGTTGTAATTCCACCTCTTATTTCTCCTGCAGACTCTTCTCCTCCCTTGTTCAGCTAGGCTTTTCAGTTCCTGGAGTGACTTCTGGTTTTGCGTTTATGGACCAGAAACACTGTTGCAAAGCAGTGCCTTGATAGTCCTGGCATTTGAAGATTTGCTGATGCCCCAGTGGAAAACTTTGTGTCATTATCTTTTCCGCAGGTTCTGCTGACAGGTCATTTACTGTTTGTGTTCCTCCTCCCTTTTTTGCTACTGAAAAAGCATTGTGGACTTTTTTTCCAAATTCAGACTTCAGTCAGAATTGAGATTCTGTGTTCCCAAAGCCTGTATGTGTACCTGCATGTGCAGTGTTCCAGGAATTGGGCATCTCTAGAATTTGCCTGGAAAGAGAAGGCTATCAGCTGAGAATACCAGCTGGATCCTGTGCCTTGTTTCCCATTGCTCTCCAAGCTGAAAATAATCAAAGACTGGGAGTGTTATTCCCTACAGAGATGTGCTCCCTAGCTCATGTATTTCTTTGTGATGCCCAAAGGATGTCTCTACTTCACTGAGTTTTATTTTCCTCCTGTTGAACCACAGCTGTTGCGATTTACATTCAACCTCCTACGAATGCAAACAAATAGAATTTTGCAGTTTCACTCTGAGAAAGCACACAAGACTTCTGTAAACAGTGTTTCATCTTCTGACTCAAAAGGATCGCTGTGAGGAAAGCTGAGTGCTTGGGTCATAGAATCATTTCAGAATCATTAGAAGTCATCTAATCCGATGCCCCCGCAGTGCACAGGGACACCCACAGCTCTGTCAGTGCTCACAGCCCCATCCCGTGGGGGTCTCCAGGGAAGGGGCACCACTGCCCCTATGGCAGCCTGTGCAGTGCCTCACCGCCCTCATCACAGTCAGTGTTTTTCTTATATCCTAAATCTTTCCTCTTTTCATGTGAAACCACTTCCCCTTGTCCTATCACACAGACCCTTCTACAGAGTCTGCCCTCTGTTTTCTTACAGTCCCATCGTTCAATTAAGGGTATAGAGCAAACTTGGAAGAAAGGGTCTGACATCCCTCCAGTATAACAAGGGAGGAAGAGCAGGGTGCAGAATGTACTGCAAAGCTCCAGGTTCCCCCTGCTTGTACTGTGTTGCACCTTGCAATGTGCAGACAGGTGGTAAAGCTATCCATAGCAAATGATTGTATTGTTTTTTCCAAAGAGCTGCATGCTACAGTGAAGGTACCTTTGCATCCAGAAGGAGCTGCTGCATCTCAAGGCCTGTGCAGTCTTGTTGTTTGTTGTAATCTTTGTCTCATAGAGGTCATTACTCTTAAGATAGAGTTCTTGCATCAGTTCTTCACCCTACCTGTTATCATCACCCAAGCCCATGTATGCTTTCTTACCTGAGAAGAAGACCAAGATGAGGTGCATGAGTTTCTCCATGTCTGTCCAGCAGAGAAGGGGAAAGAGAGGAGTCCAGACAGAAGTGAAAAGGGCTGTTGCCCAAGAGCAGTTTGCTTTTCTCTCCTCCTAGCTCTGCCGGAAGGAATGAGCACAGGAACTTGGCATCTTTTTTGTCCTGCACGTTGAGCAATTCACCACGCATGGGCCTTTCTCTCACTGGCTGAAAATTCAGGCATCAGCTTTGCCTGCTCACAGCCACAATTTAGTCTAGACAGCCTGAAAGAGAGCGTCATGTGGTGGCCTCTGGTATCGTTAGCAAACTGATGGGCTGCCCTTGTTAATTTGTTGGATTCGCTTACTTGGAGATCTTCCATTCAAATGCTGATAAAACCTTGCTTATCTTACAGAAACAGGCAGATAAATCTGCAGATCTGTCTGTTAGTAAATGTGCCTTGTTTTCTTTAATCAGTGTTTAAAAAAATGGTACCTAGAAGTTCTCTGTGGGTCTTTCTATCTTCCATTTTTTTATTTCTTGCACCAAAAAGCTCAAGCCTGGATTCTCTTTCATGAGAAGCAACTGTGATCCTGAAAATGTATTTCTTGCATTTTATTATCTTTTACCATTACTATTCTACTGTTTGACCCAGTGTAACTGACTGTATGAATAGTTAGGGGAGTCGTAGCCTGGGGATCCTTTTCCAGATTTTTTCCATTTTCTTTTTCTTCCTTTCATTTCAAGTTAAATGGGTCAACTCTGATAGTCTCAAAGAACAAACCTGCATCTCTGCTGCAGCCATAGCAAGACAGGCCTGTGAGTAACAGGTGGTCCAGGCATCTTTGATCTGCCACCTGTCTGCAGAGCTTGGTGCAGCTTAGGAAGTGCCAGGGCTTTTATTTGGTGCCAGGGTGAATAGAGCACAGTGCTGCAGGGACACAGAGCTGCATCTCAGTCTGGCTAATGGTTGATTCAGAGGTGTGTGATGGGAGCCTAGAGAGCAAGTCCATTGGGAGTACGTGTCCTGGTTTATGGTGGGGTTATTCAGGACAGCAGGGGGCTGGTCAGGTCCCTGCCAGTCCAGTGTTCTTTGGCAACTCTTGGAAGCCTGCATCAGAGCTGCACCAGGGATTTATAAATGTATTATGTATGCAATTTACTTGGACATTTATATCTGTAAGTAATCTACTCTTGAATTACCAGCATTTCCTTTCTCTTGTATCACCTGCTGTTGAAAACAGCCCTCTTGTGCTCATACTTCTTCCTCTGTTGTCTTTGCAGTACTTCCTGAAACTTTGCTAAGCTTATGGTAGAATCATAGAACAGCTTGGGTTGGAGGGGACCTGAAGCATCATCTAATTGCAACCCCCTGCCGTGGGCAGGATTGCCAATTTCTTGCTGTCAATTTCTTCTGTCAGTTTTTTTGCTCTGTGCTGCTGTCTATATGGACTTTCCTCCTCTGGCTCAGGGCTTGCTTGTGCAGTTGGCAGATGGCAAATGCTGTTCAAAACACCCAGTGCCCTGTGCATTCCTTGGACGTGGTGCCACGTGCTCCCTTCCTTCCTTTCTCCAGAAACGCTCATCTTTTGTTTTCTCTTTTCCATGCTCTTTCATTTGTCTCTGTTCCACACTGCTTTGGTTCAAGCAGCCAGTTTGTGTCTTCTTGAGGAACAGCTGTAAGAGCAAGCCAGCCACAAGCTTTTGAACAGAATGAAAGCCTCTGATTAGGAAGTCTTTAAAGGAACGTCTGTGCTTGCACTCAGTAGTGCCTCACCTTCTTTCCTTCCTACACCCATATCTAGCACATGTGCCCTTTTTCTTGATTAATGGGTGGGCATTTAGCTTTAGTTTGAAAGCCTCTTTCCATCTTATTTCTTACCTAGGCAGGCTGATAAACGTAGGAATTTGCATAAAGTATCAAAAACTGTATGCATTGTGATGTGCACCACTGTTTTGTTCTTAGAAGACCTCCTGGGGCTCAGATTCTTACAGCAGGACCCTCAGCTTGCGCAACTCGCAGGGCACTGTTTCAGCTTGGTGCAGTACGCTCAAGCCACCTGCCTTCAGGCAGATGCTGGTTCTGCTTATTCCTAGAACCCAGTGCTCATATCTGCCACCCACTACAAACAAACCCAGTGGCAGCAAGGGGAGAGTCCTGCACACCTGCCTCTCCCAGAGAGGCTGCATTTTAATGGAATCAAAAAAGCAAATGTGCAGTCGATCCTGAGAATTACCAAGCACCTCTGACCTAAGAGGATCTGCATATTTATCACAAATTTCTAAGAGGAAAGAAAGAGGTCTTAAGATGCATAGGCAACGTACATGTGGTAGCAAAACCTTAATTCTTTCCCCAGTGTTCGTGTACTGTTCTCCACTCCCACTTTATGTAGCAGTTCTCCCATTTCTGGATTGCTTTAGAATTCTGTGCTTCATCCTTTGTCATTCTTAGGTAACTGCTTGTGTGCAATGATGGCATATTCCACATTTTCCTCTGTGGGTTTCCTGGGAGTCTGACTCAGTTCAACATTGCAGTAGAGAGGTTCATCAGAGCTGAGCTGGGATTTAAAGTCCAGAGTAATGTAATTTAGATCTCTGCTGTCATCTGTGGTTCTTCCCATTCTTTCAGTGCTCTCAAGCTATAAAAAGGAAGAGCAAACAGTAGTCAGCATCATTCAGTGCCAAGGCGCAGCTGTTATCAAAGGAACAAGATTCTTCCAGGAGAAGTTGTGTGAAAAATGAAAAGTCACCTCTGGTCATGGCAGAGGAAGAAGTAACAGAAAACCCTTTCTTTAATCTCCTCTCCTTGAGACAGGCTACAGTTTCATCTTCTAACCTTGCTTTCTAGTCTTTCAGTCATTTCTCAGAGATTACTAGAATTTTCCCCACCTTGGGTTCATTATTGTTCATTTTTTCCAGTGGAATTTTCCTTCCACTGCCCCCACATTCCTTTCTGTGGTGATATTAAATATTATTTCCCCTCGCACTCAGAACCAAAAATGATCTTCATCATGTGGGTCAGCCAACCCCTCACAGGTGATGGATTCAGGTACCAAATGGAAATGGTCATATTCCTTACCTGTGCTGGGCTCTCTGGTTTGTCATACATGTCCTCTGGCTTGTCATACGTGTCCTCTGCTTGTCTGTTACCTTTGGAAAGAGCCAGAGTCAGAGTTTTGAGAAGCAGAGAAGCCCATAACAATGCCTGGTCATTGGCTGTGCTCCAAGGAGTTTTGGGGAGGCTTTGGGATTGCCCTGTGATGGAAGTGATGGTTGTGCCAATGGGACCCATCCACCCTGAGTCTGGGGAACGTGTTTCTCCCAGTTTACTTCTCTGAAATGGTAGGAGGTGTTTTGTGCAGGGAACATGGGTTTGATTTACTGGGAGATCACAGCAGGGAGCCTGCCTTTGAGGCTTCCCAGCCTGAACCTATGTTATCTTCCCCAGAGTACTGTGAATTGGGAATAATCTTGCTTGAAGAGGGAAAATGATGGTTAGAGAAGGACCCATCTACAATCAGCGAACAGAAATCACCAATTTCCACATACCTCTTGTCTTCTGCTTCTTGCGCTGCCTGATGCCCAGTGTTGTTGTGATGGCCAATGCCAGGATGAGCAGGATGCACAGAGCCACAGAGATTATGATGGTGTTCCTTTACAGGAAGAGCAAAGACGTTATCAGTTCTGGTTACCAATAGCTAGCAAAGCCCATTACCAGAAAGGGGGCAGGAGTAGCTTTTATACATTTGGAAGGAGGGGGGTGGAACTAGCTGATCTTTAAGGTCATTTCCAACCTAAGCCATTCTGTAATTCTAGTCTTCATGCTTTTAAAACAAAACACTATTCAAAGTTCAGAGCACAATTCCAGGCTCTCAGGAGCAGGTACTGCTTCTTCCTCTTGAGTTTTCCTGCACCTGACACACTGGGATGTATATTGTGCTCTTAAGTGCTGCTGCAGTGTTCATGACAGGAAGTCCAAAGGGGAAGAAAGTCCTTTACATTAAAAAAACCAAAACAACAACAACAGTAAAAAGAAGGAAGAAAGAGCAGCTAAGGGGTATTTTGCTGTTAACTATTCACCAGCGCCCTGCATAACCCCCACAAGGGTTGTGAACTCCTGTGTCTGCAGGACAGGGATGGACAAGGCCAGGGGCAAGGAGAGAGAGATGAGCGGCAGCTAAATAGCTGTGAAGTGCTCTTTTGTGTGGGCTTATCTTAGGATGATGGCCATCTCAGGAGGCACTCAACGACTCTTGGTCAAGGCCCATCACGTAGGCAGGAGAACAAGAAGGATAAAAGAGGAACCGAAAACCATGAGGACAGGTTTTCTGACAACAGATTCCTCATGAAGAAGAACAGAGGATTTCTGACAGATTCCTCAGGAAGTGATGCCTGCAAGGTGA